CCATAGCGTGGCATGTACAGTTGGCCAGAATTGTGGCCCACTGTGCCTCGGCGACGCATTTTGATGCAACGATTGTGAAAAAGCATACAAAAGGAATACTTGCCCTTCTGCCTTGTTGGCCTTAAATGATTTGTCCAAACATGCTTCACTTAAGGAGAACTCAGTAACCTCGGCGAGTTCCGGTCTTTTATAGTCTGTTTCGGAAGTACCATTTGTTTCTGAGCCAAAGCTTAGTCTGCCTTGGCTACAGAACCCGCTTTCCCGCAATCATGTGACTAAGCCACGCGGTGCCGCCTAAACTCCCCTCGTCTTACCCCCAACATGATGCTCTCCTTTTTGACCACACCGACACGAGACAAAACCGGTTGTTGCGCATTGCGTAGACAAGATACCGAGCCGTTAAACAACAGCATCATATGATTGTTATAGACGATCCACAATCAATCCTAATTCACCTTTGTCGACGAAAGTATTACTGATAATCTCGAAAATTAGCCCAGCCAATCATAAACGAGTACCCTTGTAGAATTTACTGTCAAATCCAAGTTTGTCCATTTTTACTTACATATCTTTCGTAAATATACTCTCTCGGTCACGAAGAGTTTATTGTAAGGCAAAATAATAAAAAGGATTCAATCATGTATCGTGATTCCATAATATATTTCAAGTAAAATCCTATCCAGGAATTAGTGTTATTTTATGATGCTACTGAAAAGGAATATAAGTAACGTGGTATATTATAATGGCAAATATATTTTCACCAGCTTGCCGACACGACATGAAGAAGTCGACAAAATGGAGTGCTCCAGAGTGGACGACATAAAGTGCAAGGATTGTGAGTGGAAATGCCTCGGAGAGAGGAGAAGGACAATCAGCACTTTTATGCAGAATAATGGACAGGGAAAGATTGGGGATAGCTGCACACGTCGCCGGTACCGGCGACATGGTCTGTCCGAGAAACCTGCTGAACGCGAGATTGGAAGAGGGGAGAGTGAGTCAGCGATGACTTGGCGTACTGGCTTGGAGACTTGGGACATGGAATTAACCTAAAAGTGGAGCCAGCGGGTTGAGCTGTGCGATGTAGCACATGAACTCAGAGGTTCACGGTACAGCTAGGCTGGAAAGAAGTGACGAGTGTGTGTCTGTCGTGTCTGTGTCTAAAGAGGACGTGACTGGCAAGCGGCTTGACGACGGACGACACCAGCCAACAAACACACGAGCCTCATAGTAGCCCAGAATTGGATGGGAATCACAACTTGCGAGACGAGTGTGCTTTTCGCGCTGCAAGGTGAAATGGGAAACGGTGCATTGTCACACCAGCGGCTGTGACTTGAGCCAAAGAATGCGACACAAAGTGGGTGGGGAGGAGGG